ATTTCACTCATTTGAGCTCTCTGGCCGTAACGAGTGGTAAAGAGTCTAACAACCATAACCATAATTCTTAACCATATGGCAGCTGCAAGAACCACATAGAGAAGTAACTCATCATATTGCAAAGTTTGAGGTGATCTGAAGATATTATAGGTTCCATCCGCGTAAGAACGTTTTGCGTAGCAAAATGTCTGAAACTACCAGCTATCATTTGCTGAAAAACCATACCGAAAAACTAGAGGAGGAACGAGAAGGAAAAGAACATGAAAAAAAAATCCTGATCCAAGAAGAAGACGCGGTCGATCAAAATGAAGAGTCTGCAGAAAGGTCGAGCTTATGGAAAGCGGTTGCTAACCTCATGAGTGATATCGAGGGCACCGGCCTCCTCGCTCTTCCTTACGTGATTGCTGAGAGTGGTCTGGTAGCGATAGCAGCTCTGGTCATGGTTCCCTTTATCACCTACTACACCGGAGCTACATTGATAGAGTGCCTGTATGAGACCAACAACGAAGGCGAAAGAATTCGAGTCAGGTCCAACTATAAAGAGCTCGGTAAAGCCTGCTGGCCTCGCTTTGGTGGTGCTATTGTTGCCGCTGTCCAGCTGATCGAACTGTTTATGACGGCGTCTTTGTATCTTGTCTTATGCGCCTCGCTCTCAAGCAGTATATTTACAGGGATACCGGTGTCCGATAAAATTTGGATGGTCATTGCAGCTACAATTGGGTTCCCGACCATTTTCGTAAAGAATCTTTCACAGGTTGCATGGTTCAGTTTAGTAAGTGTTGTAGCTTTATCTGTAGCAGTAATAGCTGTCTTAGCTTTTGGCATAGCACATGGCTCTAAGTGGAATTTTAGCCTTATATTAGTCTGGAATATCGATGACGCGCCAGTCTCATTAGCAATTATAATCTACAGCTACAATTGTCATCCTGTACTGCCAGGAGTCGAGGAAAGCTTGCAAAACAGATCACAGTTTCCCAAGATACTTGCGCTATCTTATATCTTCGTTACAATCCTCAAGATCGTTTTTTCAGTTTGTGCTTTCCTGTCGTTTAGCCCAGATATTCCGGATGTGATTGCAAATAGCCTTCCCATGGGATTTCTACGAGTCTTTGTCAACGGATTTTTTATTTTAAACGTTCTCTTTTCATATCCTTTTAGTGTCATTACCATAATCCACACAATCGAGGAATTTTTTTCAGTCGATTCACTTCCATTTAGATGTCCTGAGATTGTTTGGTTCATCGGCATTCGAGTGTTGACAAATTTTCTAACACTTCTACCCGCGATTTCTATTCCACATTTTGCGCTTTTTATGTCATTCATCGAAAGTTTAAGTGGTTCCTGCGTTGTTTTAATTTTTCCTGCAGTTTTTCACCTGAATATCCAAAAGGACAACTTAAAACTATATCAGATCACTTTCGATATTTTGGTAATATTTGTTGGAGTTTTTGCGAGTTTTACAGGTTCAATTTTCACCGGAAAGAAAATCCTTCAGCTTTAGACTTCATCGTGTTTTATCTTTTTATCTAAACGAAAAGAGTTGAATTTCGTTCTTTTTTTTCGGGTATTACATTACTACATGACAGTGTAACTTTTTCCACTGTAGATTCACTCCCCAGGTATTTGAATATTAGTGAATGAGCTTGCAGCTGGTTAAGATTGAAGATATAATATTGCCTATGTTATACACATTTCTTGTTATTTCCAATCTTGTAATTAGTCGTTCTGTTCTTGATGTACTATGTTTGTAATACTCTACTTAGAAACCACTGGCAATGGCGTGTAAATAGAAGGTTTCGATCGTGTCGTCAAGAAATTAAACTCCTCTTAAATTTATTGCTGGTGTGTTGGTCACCGTTTGATCTATCTCTAAGTTAAATTTCTATAAAAGCTTATCGTTTTTTGCCGAACTTTGGAACAGAAACACCACAATAGTATGATCAGTTTTTCACTGCCTAGTGTAGTATATTTCCATAAGCTTGGGCGAGTCGCGGGTGTGAAGGACATATAAGAAACTGTCATCGTTGATTGATTCTCTCGTTACAAAAGGTCTAGAATCTGATCGTCAGGTGTTTTCTTTCACAGGTAGAAAGTAAAAGGGCTTGAAAAACTGTAATTATTGTGGAGAAATAAATAGAGAATAATACATGGGCGCGCGTAGTTATGGAATTTCTCTTCGAGTGTTTAACTCGATAGCTCACGAGTGAGCGCAGTACTTTAATGTTAAAACTGAAATGTGATTAATTAGTGTTATGTTTTCCAAGTAATACCCAGATTTATTCAGACCTTAACATTCCATGACTTCCTGTAAGCTTGGAAGTCTTCTAGATTCTCTTCATAATGGCTCAGATAAGCATTGGTATTTATACATGGTAGCAATACATGTGTATTAGGCCTTTATTTGGTAGACTACAACTCCTTTTCAATTACTGGTTTGGTTTTGGTTAATTCATCACAATACTGATATACATGAAAAATTACACTTTTTGATCGGCTGAAAACAGCCAGGTGCCTCTTTCATTTATCATTAGTGCAAAATTAATAACTCAAGTACAAATAAAACTAGGCTCAGCAACAATAGATCACATAAGAAACCAATCAGAGTTACACAAAGTAGGTTGTTGTTATTGATATATGCAGAAGCTGACAAAAATAAACAAAAGCTTGGATACTTTTATGTATATTGATAAACACTAACAAAATTGCATCCCTGAGTAAGAATTCAGCTGAAGGACAAATTTTGATGGCACACACTTCATTTAGTCAGTACTGCCAAATTTATCTGCTATCAGTTTGTTGATTTCTTGTGAATGCGTATCTTTCATGTATACATTACGAATAATTCATAACATGATTTCTCAGGTGATAGGCACTTGTAAATTTTTCAAATACTTCAAACCGCACACACCCCATGAGCTGTAGACATTTGTTGTTTGTTAAAAATTTACTTGTGCTTATTTAGTATACCAAAGTACACTCAATTAATGTAGCTTAGACTTAGTTGAGTTTTTATGAAGACAGTTCAATGGAACTGACATTTGTTACGTTTATAATTAGTTAGAGCTACTTGATGTGGATTAGAAAACCATCAGGCATCCTCGGAGACCCAGGGTTCTTATCACGTCTGTAGACCCCCTAAAAGCACAGTCTTAACAGATCAGTTCCAAACTGTCATAGTCATTCTGAATTTTAATCGGTACTAGAAGTTCAACGTTATTCTGGCAAATGAGAGAGAAGCAGGTCTCACAAGTCCTCTTGTATGCTCTAACAGAAAGTGATACATGAAGTTCAGTTGCTTACCATGTTTGTTTTGGACCTTTTTGTATGGTAGATTAGCACTTTGCATGATGATGTGAAGTTGACCATTTGCATGATGATGTCAAGTTCACCTATTCATTTCACAGTTCAAATTACAATTTCAATAATAAGAAAACTTGAAAGATTCTGGTAGTTTAATTCATATGATACCATCGTGCACTTGCCTGTACATTGAATTCTGTTGTGTTCAAGTTAAGTCTCTGATTACTGTTCCTGAAATCTCTTATGGAGACACTCTATCTCTATTCAACTTTCTGTTAAATAAAACCTCCAGGTCAAATTGTAAATCTTGTTGGGTTAAAAATAGTTAGCAAAGTTAATATGTTACTTCAGAGTATGATTCATTAAAATATTGCTTGTGTTCTGATCTTGTAATGCACCTATTTTTTTTCCCCAGATTCCTCCATTTGCAACCTCATATCTACCGGCCTCAACTAGATTTTTCTGTGTTCTTTATTGAAAATACAGTCCCACAAAACCTAAATACAACAATTATAGTAAACGTTTTACTCTCAACCAACTCAGTGAAAATAGACTTTTATGCCCTAATGGACAATAGAAACCTACGCTCATCACACATACTTTACATGTATGTATTGTCCAAAATTAGTCATACGTTCAAATCAAATCAAGCTCCCAGTGGCTTCTAGTGTAGATTACATCATTTCCCGAATGTCACTGCCCTTCTGCAAAGTTTTGTCCTCGTGTACTGGTACACAAAATGCCAAAAATATTCATATGAAATGCTTCCCTAGAGTTCATTTCACATCACTTGCCTTGGAAAAGACAATCAACCTACAAACTTCAGAAGTCAATTCCTCTTCGTTAGGTAGACATAATCATAACTGAATCTAACAGGCCACTATGGGAGATGATGCTGACGTTTTTTCAGTTCCTAAAATCCTCAGATTACGCGTGCAACCTTTGTTGTCAAAATGAGACGTTCATAACAAAGTTTGGCCAATAACCCTCATCTTGAAACTGCTCATTTCAGGACTCTTGTATGCTAGTTATCTTGTTTTATTGATGAACAGGATCAATATTGAAAACTATCTAACGGTAATCAGATATTAGCTCTTGTAATAGAAGCCCAATAGGGCGCTAGATACTAAAAATCATCCGTGATTAAATTGGTCTCAATCCATTTCACACATTTGAGCTCTCTGACCGTAACGAGTGGTAACTTGAAGAGTCTAACAACCCAACAAGCTTCCACAACTGGAGACAGAGAGTTAAACGGTAAAACGTGTTCTGAAATATTGACTTCATGCAATGTGTTATTGATTCGGATGTTTTTACCTATGGACTAAGAGCTCACTGTCTGAAATACCAGAGAAATATTTAAGTAGCACCTCATGTAATTATTTATTCTATAGCTGTTTTATTTCCTAAGTATTTTTCAGAGAGAAATTGAGGAGCATTTGCGACCTGATTCTCGGAACTAGAAGAATAAGTTCTGCAAAGTGCTACAATTTTCTTTCACATTTATAAGATACATGAAAAAATTACTCAGTTCCCATTTGTTAAGATAAATGCAGTTTTCAGGTAATTCAATGCAGTTTTCAGGTAATTCAATGCAGAAGAGGGTTAATTCAGTGCAAAGAAGTAACAAACCAGGCTGAACAATTCCTTGATCTGTTTAGCCGGACTCTGAATATTTTTGCGCCTCAAAGATGTGAAAATATTATTGTATATTGTCGTTTTGATCGTACGCGGTTGTTTCGACCGAACGAACAATTTCATTAGCAGTGTTTGAATAAATAATTTTTGCACTTGATGCGCGCGCTTTGCTTCTGCATAATCATGATAAGCTATCTCGTATTTCTTCATGTATTTTATTAATACGTAATCACATGATTTTTCTCGTGCCATTTAGAATAAATAGGCACTTGTAAATTTTTTCAAAGACCATAAATTAGGCTTAGGGTTAGCTACCTTAACGACCCTCAACCGCGAAGAACCTTAAAATTAAGAGGGTCTCATTGAGACCGGTTCACCGTTAGCCCTGAAACGGTAAAAATAAACATAGCACTTTGGCGGTAAAATTGAAACATTTTAACTAAAAAAAACGTGCACCCTAAAATTTTCTATTTTGTCCACAATGGAAAGAAATTAACCGCTAGCTGTAAAATAGCCAACATGTTAACCCACAGTGTGGTCTGCCTGTGATTAACCATTATACGTAATTGAGACCATCATTTAGGCGCCAATGGTCAAAATAGAAAATTAACCTTCAATGGTCGAAAGCTTTATGATTTCACTGATAACCAACACAATAGAAAAACTGCCAAAAATTATTCGTACGTGACCCTGACATTAGGAAAAAGTAACCGCAACTGACAAATAGTAGTGTTCAGCCTTCGGCTCCCGTTTCTCGCACTTCTCGAGTGTTCTTAAAAATTTCCAAGGGCTTTTATAACATAGTTAGTAAATTTGTCTAATCAAATTCGATTGCGTGAGCGTGCTTCATATTCCTATTGTGCACGCTCATGACGTCAGCAAACAAATCCCTCGAGAAAAAACTTTTCTCCGCGATTTTTTATTTTGGGATTTTACTATTAAAAAACTGGTTAAGACTTCTACGGCAATTTAAGCTAAACATGGAAAAAAGATCGTTTACAGCGTAGCGAAATGTTTTCCTGAAACAAAATTATCAACGCGCTGAAGCGTAGCAGAGGGAATATTAACCCTTTTACAACATTTAAGCCATCGGGTTGAAAATGTTCTAGAACAATTGGTTCATACATCAGCTGTGCGTCCATCGAGATATGAAGCACGCGAAAAGTTTGGAGAGCACGAAAGATGCGTGAGAGTTGCACGAGGCGTATATCGTATACGTTGTCAAAAATAAATACCGAATTGATAATTGGTATGTGATATACCACCAGGTGGACAATCAGACATAGTTTGATGCTACACTGGTTTGCAGATTTAATG